TATATATATATATATATATGCTTACGTAACGTATATTTATAGAGTATATCGTATGCATAGAAGGGCTCTATTTATTTGCCGTATTGTTCCTGCCGCTACATTATCTAGCAAGTTTTCGTTAGTTAACTCTGACGGCTCCCGGATTCGCCTGAAGCTTTAGTGCAATTATAATCCTCAAGATTCCATCCAATGGATTCTCGTCACTTTATTCGGTTAGCAAGAATCAAAAGGATAAGTAAAGTTTTCGTAATAATCGTTATTTTCACGTTTCTATTAATAGTTGTTTGTCTAACCTGTATCTATTTTTCAGGGATTAGCCTTCTCGTTTATATTGATTGTTACTTTTTAAATTATTTTCGATAAATGGAAACAAATAGGCAACTAAAAGATGAATTATAAAGAGTTTAAAATAATGAAAAATTAAAAATATTTTAGAAAGTGCAATTTAAAAAATAATTAAAAGTTTAATTAATATGCTTTTATTTTTGTCTCCTTTTTGCAATATATATATATATATACATACATAGATGTAACTATGCTGACATTGCATTGAAAAGTAATTAAGAAAGAAAGAATTAAATTAAGATTGACACTTTTGTATTAAATTTTCTATTCAGCTATTCTACATTTGACATCCATGATAATTAAATTTCAATGTATTTGGAATTTTATTAGATAAAATGTAATTAAGACACTTCCGTTCAAAACGAATTGCTGACGTAACATTATCGAAATTCGATGCTGACAAAATAAGATTGTCTTTGATCCTTAAAATACTAAACTGATCATCTTTAAAAGAGAGATGGATGTAGTAGTGACGAGTCTGTAGCAGCGAGGGATAATTACAGGAATCCCGAGGGTTATTAATCGCCGGTATCGAGATTATGATCGAGCCAGCGGGAGGACTTCTCCGGCTGCTGAATAATTCCAGCTCGTGAATTTCTGAATAATTTGTAAATGTCAAGCGCTCGGTCGCCGTTTACAAGTTTTCCGCCTCGTATCCCCCTCTCGTCGTTCGGGCTGACAAATCGACCGTTTATACAGGGTGCCTCCCACAGTCACGAACTATTGACATTGCGCGCCATAATTATGGAGACGCGATGCGAGGTGCCGCGCCGTTTCGCATTGATATGCGCCGCCCTTATCGGCGCCATCGGCTAATAAACTAATCGATGACACAAATATATAAAAGAAACTATCGAGGAGAGCAAAAGTACATTTACACTGTGAGCGATTAATGTCTAACGAGAAGACATATTGCTTCTTTTTTTTTTGTAAATATAAATAAAAAAGGTTATCTCATGTCTAAAAGAATTATCTCGTGTGTCTCTATGTTTGATTAATGATATACTTCCTGCATAATGAGTTGAAAATTCGATTGTCGGATTTGTATTGGCTTCTCTAAATCTATATGTGTGATATTAAGGCGATATTATCTAGCAAGTTCTGAGGCCATCTTTTTATTTAGCAAAAATTTGATTGGACGTCTCTTGCCTCTTTAGGACTTAGATTTTCTAAGGCACCCCGTACACTTCTAAGATAATTGGATATTTACAACTTGAATGTATGCGATTTGAAAATGAGGAAAAAAAAATGACAAAGGGAAAGAAAAGGATTCGGGGACCATTTGTCGAGATCGACTCGGGATACTTCGTATACATCGGTGCGATTTGAAACTTGAAAACGAGCGAACCACGATCGACTTTTTCGCTCGACCGTATTTCCAGGCTACCTCTATTACACACCTTTTCTTCTGTTTACATCGCTATTAACAATCTACATTTATCTATACACTCGAGTCTCTCGCGACACATCGTATAGACGCATGTGCTTCAGGTTTAGATTTCAACTTTAACAAACACCTAATGGTCCAGTATGGGAGGAAGTTTGCGTTGCTTGGCCATTAATTATACAGTAGATTAGTGCTTAGCCATTTATACAGACTGCCTCTCGAGTTACGGTCGATTTATTATACACGTGTCATACTCTCGTCCCGAACGATCGCGAATCGCGCCCACCGCATTTTGCCCTTCTATCGTGATCTGTTATGATCGATTTTATTTCAATTTTGTGGGATGCCTCTTGAGGCCAACTTCGAAAACGTGCGGCTTTTATATGTCTTTACTTTTATTTTTCTTCGATCAATTTGTCAAGATTGCCGCTCTATCGCGTCAAAAGCGCGAATTAATTCGAATTATTAATTTATTTTCCATCCGGATTAACATTGTAATATAATATTAACGATAATATAATTGTGCGAAGAGTTTCAACGTTTAAAAATAAAATACTTCGAGTATATACATATGTAATAATTTTATTCAACAATTTGCAACAAAATGTTTCTATCTATTTATGGACTTTGCGTTAATCATCCGCTTTTCTAAGTAATGATTGTAATCTTGTCTGCCAATCAAGATTCGACATTGAAAATTTATTTTATATGTATATTTACATTATATATAGAATATATATATAATTTATATATGTATATATTTAATCTCATTACAAAACGCAAAAATCTTGATTTCTCTCATTTTTCAACATTTCTCAGTTTTTATATATCATTAATATTATTCTCCATCAATCACTCGCCCGTAAATCATCTTGTAATCAAACATCATCAGTACCGCGTACGATTGTTAATGATTAACTCGCGATGCAACTCGTGTCCAAGTTACGTCGGTTGCATGTCGATTGCGCATAGTCTCATCGCAAAACACTTTTGACGGCGAAATTATTGTGAAAAATGAAAACACAATTATTGATCAATGATTTCTACTTGATTTCGCGCATTTGACAAATGTATTCCGTGTCAATCTCGTTTCCAAAACTCATCAAACTCGACCTCAAAGCGGTGTCGATCGTCCAGGGCATCATCGATCATCTGTCATTAATCCTTCGAGTACTGCCTAGCGCAACAGCACTATTTTGCAGTAAGTGTTATTACAGTATTATTATAGTATAACGCAATATACTTCAGTCAGGCATACTTGTCGCGTTCGTAGTATACATTAGCATCTACAGCAAATGCTTTTAAACTGTTTGAACATGCAATAAATATTTTGTGTGTAAAAGTATATGTAAATTTGCTATTTTCTCTAATATGTTTGTGTGTGTGTGTGTGTTTGGAAAATAAAATCTGGATAATCTTAAAATAGGCAGTTTTAATGCAGTTTAAACACATGTTACAATTTTTATTAGTGCCTTAATAACTTTTGTAATTGCTATAAAAAGTAAATGATAAAATAAAATGTTAAAATAAAAAAGAATGTATGTACATAGAAAACATAATAACGTGTAAAAATAAGAGCATATTCTTCTTTAGAATTTTGTCTGAAAAGAAAAATAATTTTGTTTAACATACAGTATTGATTTAATGTTAATTATGATAACCATTGCATGTTCCAAGACCCGGAATTGTATGACAGTCGAAGAATTAAGAATAAGGTTCGAGGACGCCCTGTCGAGATGTAGTACGTAACAAAAATACCATTAAATATCAATATATATTTAATAATATCTTCAACGGCGCGGTGAGCGATCCGCGATCGGCGGGAATGTGTGGGAATCTGTGCGGATCCGCCGATCGATCCCTGCGATCTGTCGATCCGCACGGCGATCGAGGGGTAGGCGGGGGTTTCTTCCCTTCGTGGATCTGCGCCCTTCAAGGCCACGAGTTCTCTCTCATCAGGGTGGAACCGCCTATTGTCGGAACCGCCGCTACCACGTGAACGCGACATGTGGCGATCCTCCGCAAGGAGGACACTCGATACAGATTCTTAGTGATATCTTGATGTCCCTGTCACGAACCAAAGAGGCAAGTCGACCCAAAGAAGCTGATTGCAAACAGAACAACAAGGAGCACCGATGACGACCTGGAGATCGCCGCTTCGTTGCTGTACGGCATCTTCACCTCAACCTCGGCCATTTTGAAGATCGAGAGTAGCGGATGCGTGCGTACCTCGTGATGCTTATTGTTGATCTTGTCGCTGAGATCTTGCATCATCGATGCGCACTCCTCCTGCAAATCGAGCATGTTCATTAGCACATTTTCAAATTCAATTCAATTCACACATACAATTCAAATTTTTACACAAAAATAGCTTTTTTATTTCAACGTGAACTTAATGCGATATTTGATTAATTATTAAATCTTTTCATCTATTATAATTGATCAAATAATAATCGTATTATAAGAAATCATTCTTGTCTGATTTTTTAATGTTCCAGCGTCATTATAAGTTAATTCTTGTTCGAATTTAGATGTATTACTTCGAGTTTTTAGTAAATAGTATAGTAAAGTCGATAGAAAAATATATAAGCGAAATTTAAAATTATTAATAATAAAGTGGTTTTTATTCATAAAAATGCAAAACGAATAATAATTGCAAACAAATAAATAATAATCACAGGATGTTTCGCACCCCATCCAATTTTCTTCAGTTAAACAAATGAAAAGTTAAAACATTAATAAATTGTCTGTTTCTTCTATATTCAGGTGAGAATAGCTCAAAGCTGAGTAAAAACGGTTGCCTTTCACGGTATTAATTTGTACCCATGAATTTTAATTAAACGTTTAATTTGGAGTAACGTGCGAACTGTTAACTGCGTTTCGACTCTTATCTACCATTACCTTAGAATATTATTAAAAAAGTTTTTTTGACAAAAAAAACCTATTTCGGCTTTTTTACTTTACCAACTAAACATATTCTCGCTTGAGAGAGAACAAAGAATTTATTATTTAAAATTTGTAAAATAATTTTTCATCTTTATTTCTTAACACAATGACGTAGAAAGATGTTTGTTGATACTTTTATTTTTGTATTTTCTAATTCCTGATATATGTTTAGCTTCAGATATAGTTAGACGATTTTTTATTAAATTTTATTATTTAACAATTATTATCGATCTCTATTAGGTTTAATTACGTTCATACTACTATTATTTAATTACATTTTGATATAGTTTTAATGTTTTAACTTTTTATTTATTTAAATGAAGAAGACTTCGTGAGTATGAAACATCTAGCAATTACTATATATTTGTTTGCGATTATTAATCGTTTTGAACTTTTATGGATAAGTCATCTTGTTGGTAAACATTTTAAACTTTACTTGTTTATTTGGCCATTAACCTTACATTTTGTTTATTATTTTGCATATCGAGCTTGTAGCTTCTCATTTTGATATTTTCGAGTTTTTATTATTTTTAATCTTTTTTTATATAACTTTATTTTAAAAACAATAAACAGAAAAAATTATGTACTATCAAGTCAAAGAAAAGATTATAAGTAAAAATTAACTTTTCCAATAATCTTATTTGTGATTGACAAAATATTAGTGTACTTATGTACACTAAAATACTAAAACATTATAACATCGTGAAAAAATAAATCGATTAGAACTTATGAAATTTTCATTTAAGAAACGCATTAATTTTGATCGAAGAATTCGTGAAGTGACGATAGATCTAGATCGTTTATAACGACCGGAATAAATTCTTCCTCAAAGTATAATCTTCATGAAAGCACGCGAATTTTTCGTTTTACTATCAATAGTTGTCCTACCAGAATTCAAGTTTTCTCTCGAATACGACTTAACGACGTCGAATGTAACCCCTCTCCCTTTATCGTGTACCTCTTTCCAGACAGAATCCAGCATCGATTTCCATTTTCAATCCTATCCCGCTACCCATCCGCTACGCGCAGCCCTTGTTCCTCGTCCCCAAAATTACCCTCGGCTCGTTGAATCTTTAATTTCCGGCGTAGGAGTCCGCGAAGCTGGAAGCGATTTTTGGTGATATCTTTCTGGTGCGCCACGTGGCCCGACCAGATTTCTCAACGCCGGCGTTTCATTCGCTCGTTTCGTGCCGAGCGAGGTTTTCAATGAGATTAAATTCCGCGTAGAAGCTGGAATCTTGCGCGAATAACTTTGCTGTGACGAGCTGGTGTAGCTTCCAGCGTGGAATGAAACTTTCGACGAGTTCGACCATGATATCTTTGGTGCTCGGAAAAACGACGTGAGTCGTCTAATTTGAGATATGTCTTCGATGCATTAAAAGTCTACATCGTAAAACTAAGTTTTTATTATACTTCGCAATCATAATATAATCTATACTTTTAAGAGCAATTTTATGACGTAAAAGTACTATGAATTTTTTCTCTTTTTTATCAAGAGTTTTGCTTAGGTTTTTTATAATTGCGATAATCCGATATTAATATGCATTAAATGATAAATTTGTTTTTTTTTTACATTTACATTTATATTATTTCCATCTTTGTCAAGTCACGTATTTAACGTAAAATACTTGATATACAAAATAGTAAAGATATCTAACCGCGAAACAACGTTGTGGTATATCCGTGCACTCAATAATTAACTCGCCACGTGTGAGAAACTCGGGGTTTACAATTAGCACCAGCCAATACGTAAAATGAATTATCGTACTGGGCTTTTGTCAGGCCATGCTTGGATCATTACTGCTTCGTGCAGTTCCATTTAATTAGCCTAAAAACCCAACCAAGCGCATCTGGCGTGTTTCGCATCTTCTTTTATTTATGGATTGTGTCCATTTTACAGTCAAGTATAATTGTTGAATTTAGATATTTAAATTACTAAAATAGACGCATCACACGGAATTAAAAAGAATTAAATAAATTCGTATGTAACTGTAGGATTTTAAAAATCGCACAAGCAGCTTTCATGTGATTATTTTCTGATCGAGCTGTCCATCATATTAAAAAAAATATATATATATATATAATTTAAAATAAAGAAGACAAAAAATAAATTTTGTATAAGTAAAAAAAGTATATTTTTCTCAAATAAAATGACTAAATTTATATTTTAAAATGACATTAAGTTTTATTTTTTTCAATCATTAATTGACAGATTTATTGTTTAAAATTTATTGTTTCAGCTCTCTGTGTGTATAATTCGTGCATTAAATAAAGTAACCGAGTATGTGAAAGTCGTTAATTACTTACTATACTTTTTACTATTATTATTATTTTGCTATTATCAATTTTGTTGTATGGAGAAGTCGACGAGGCTTTTAATTGCTATATGTGTTTCCATGTACTAGGTTTTCAGAATAATCCGACTTTGAATGGAAATGTGCGGCGTGACTTTTTTTTTCATCGGATTATCCGACAGATTCGCAACAGTATTGTGTGCTGCGGATATGTAACTCCTACTTTTTACCCCACGGATTGTGCTGCTTATCTCCCGTCGTGCTTCAACATCAGCCGACACGCGTTTAATTTTTCCCCGGATAATATTTTATTTAATCCGGCTTCGCCGTGAAATAATACATGTATGGTAGATGGTCTTCTGCGAGAATCTCGTTTGTTTCTGCAGTAAAACATCAGTCCCACACACAGAACCGTCAAATAATTCAACAAAAGGCTTTAATGAAGTTAAGTAAAACCAAACTGCTTCTCAGCTTCATCACAAAATTTAAATTTAATAATTTCATAGACTTTATCTATTTTGAATTATTTTTGATTAAGTCAATTGAAAACATTTAACAAAATATATTTTTGCGTACACTAAAAAGAATGTATTAAATTTCAATAAATATTTGTTTAAGTAGTACTAATTAAACATTCACTCATATTAAACAAATATTTACTTAATAAAAAAATTATACTTAAATGAAATTAATGATTCTTATATCAAATAAATATGTATATGTTTACATTTAGTAAAGATTTAGTTAGTAATATTCAAACAAATATTTATTAAAAATTAGTAAGACGTTTTCTCAATATAATAACAATAATAACTATATTCTGATATTCTTTCTGATATTAAATTATGCCATATTTAGACGTGCCAATTTCCAATTTCAAATAAAATCTGTCAGATTTGTCTATTAAATATGGAGCATAATTATATGTTACCCTATATATCTTTTATGTATTCCAATAACGTTTTTAATCATACTGCTTAATAATTCTCGACTGTTTAATTCTTCTTGCAATTGTTAATTATTGCTCAATAATTCTTTTCAAAGGAGTATTCTCAATATAATAACTGTATTGCCCTACTAAAATAATTAATGGCAATTGAAGTAATCAAATCAATCGCGAGTTGCCCTGATTTCGTGCCGAACATAACATTCTGCTGTTTACGCCAGTTGTTTAACGTTATGCTTTAATTAATATCGTGCCGTGCCACATGACGAAACTCACTGGCAGCTCGATGGTTGTTCTAATTTAAGCTCTCTTGTATTATGCGGTACGTGCCTCTTCTACCATATTAATCCAGGGTTAGAAGTACATCCGTGTTACATTACGTTTCGCCAAAATAATTTCACTTTACAGGTAGATACGTGCTAATACAATTATTCGGAAATTGGCGAATGCATAAGTGAATATACAAGGAAAGCTAATAAATTATTTGCGTAAACATCTAATGATAGAAAGGCTGCAATGAATAATGTTGAGCTTATCCGCAAAGGGTTGTGTAGTGTAAGCGATCTTAAGTTGTTTAGAAATGAAAATTGTTAAGACGGCGCTTAACGATCGTAGATGGAAGTAATTTCCAGTAAATAACTATTAAAATTATCTTGTTTAATAATTTGCGTACAACGCCGAGAAAGTTGTTAAAGGAGATAGAATTAGTCAATGTAAAATGAGTCTCAGAACATAATAAATTTTAATAAAAATGTGTGTAAACTACTGTGGTGGATCACATTTTTTAACTTGAAAATAGTTAGTCGATTTTTTTTACATAGACAATCATCTGTGTGTGATGTTTTACACTCTAATTAAAATCTTTATTATTAACAACATATTACTGATATTGTATATTACTGATTGATTTCTGATTTATTAGTATTTGAAAACATTATATGGACATGGATTCAATCACAATTTTTTGATGAAAGTAAGTAGAAACTGAACAAATATTAAACGGAACAAGCATATTAACAAACTTGTTATGACAGTACTTCTAAAAGAACAAAATAAAGGATTTAATACAACGTTTTTTTATTGCGAGTTTTCGATAGAATTTC